CTGACTGGTAACAGAGCAGGGAAAAACCGTCGCTCCTGGTAGTGGGAGGATCACGTGCCAGAATCCTGATGTGGCGTCACCACTCTACAGGTCGCAACACGAATACCTTGCGAAAACCTTTTACTGATTGGGTGGATACCAGTTTCACCAGTCTGCCATCGCTCTCCTCTATGTCTCTACGTCCTCAAGGCGAAGTCACGGTGCTCTACTATAGATTAATACTGCGTCCCGTTTTTTCGTGCTGAAATACTTTGCACAGCACGAATCACGATGTGTTTTATGCAAACAAACTGGCCATCGACAACCGAGCTTGGACTTACTGCAACCAATCACACTGGTTTCTCTCTCGATTTGAAATCTGAGAAAAGAAAGCAGTACATGTGAGTGCAGCAGCAATTTGGCGGACCGAATCATGGACCTTGCAAGACGTAGCGAGTGTTGCAAAGGGGTCAATGCAAAACGTGAAGATCATAATACCGGTGGCTTGAAAGTGACAAGCGCATTCTCGTGTTGGCGCATCATGCCAACAGATACTAGCACGACCCCTAGTTCATGTGCCATCGTAGCTTGCTTATCCCGCCGCCATGAACCAGTTAAGTCAGGCTGGACCTCGACTGTAAGGTCATGGATTAGCTAAGTCTTCAGTTGATCGTACGAACTACTCGTTGTTGGCGAGCTTGATCACCTTGCCCGCTGCATCCTTTGCTGCGTATGTCCGTTCTTATCGTTGGGCTGATTCGTATTGAATAATATGGAGTGACAAGACTTGTAGTGGAACCGAGACGACCATGAGCGGGATCGATGCGTCAGCAAATTTTCTGAGTGCGCAACAAAATGAGTGAGTCCTGATAAAATGTGAGTGATCGAAGGGTATCGTTGATGAAGATACGGATATAAGGTACGACCTTCAGTACCCGGATTCCGTATCATCACCTCTGTAAAGACAGTCACACTACACCACAAAAAGGCCGCACCGGTTTTCGTTGGTCTCACTTTTGCTCCCCATACGCTCGATGAGTGTGTAATCCACAGTACGTATGCACATCGTGAAAGCCTCATATAATGCTGTACGCGTCAAGTTATCATCGGACCATGGACATGTGTGACTCACGCGTTACAGTTCTCGTTAAGTATAGTATGTGTGTGTGCATTAGTGAAGGGTCCTTGAAGTAGCTATGGTGTGAAGCGGGTTTCGAAGTATCAACAGTTTGTCGTTGTTGTAGGCGCGAACTGGCTCCAAGAATCACCGGGTTAGGTGGCGCCAACTTGTAACGGAACTCTTCTGTCCGGGTAGTGAGGTACGAGGGTTGTGACACGCGTGACGGCGTCACTATCCACAGGGTGTGGAAGGCGCGCCCGTCTCAAACTAGGAGTCGACATTGTGGTGAGCTCGTAAGGGTTCACACCAAGGTCACTAAGTAACGGTGCACCGCCCCAGACTGGATAACAGTGCAGGGAAAAACCGTCGCTCCTGGTAGTGGGAGGATCACGTGCCAGAATCCTGATGTGGCGTCACCACTCTACAGGTCGCAACACGAATACCTTGCGAAAACCTTTTACTGATTGGGTGGATACCAGTTTCACCAGTCTGCCATCGCTCTCCTCTATGTCTCTATGTCCTCAAGGCGAAGTCACGGTGCTCTACTATAGATTAATACTGCGTCCCGTTTTTCGTGCTGAAATACTTTGCACAGCACGAATCACGATGTGTTTTATGCAAACAAACTGGCCATCGACAACCGAGCTTGGACTTACTGCAACCAATCACACTGGTTTCTCTCTCGATTTGAAATCTGCGAAAAGAAAGCAGTACATGTGAGGTGCAGCAGCAATTTGGCGGACCGAATCATGGACCTTGCAAGACGTAGCGGAGTGTTGCAAAGGGGTCAATGCAAAACGTGAAGATCATAATACCGGTGGCTTGAAAGTGACAAGCGCATTCTCGTGTTGGCGCATCATGCCAACAGATACTAGCACGACCCCCAGTTCATGTGCGATCGTAGCTTGCTTATCCCGCCGCCATGAACCAGTTAAGTCAGGCTGGACCTCGACTGGAAGGTCATGGATTAGCTTAGTCTTCAGTTGATCGTACGAACTACTCGTTGATAGCCAGCTTGATCACCTCACCCGCTACATCCTTTGCTGCGTATGTACGTTCTTATCGTTGGGCTGATTCGTATTGAATATTATGTAGTGAGAAGACTTGCAGTGGAACCGAGACGACCATGAGCGGGATCCGGTGCGTCAGCAAATTTTCTGAGTGCGCAACAAAATGGGTAGCGAGTCCTGATAAAATGTGAGTGAGCGAAGGGGTATCGTTGGTAAAGATGGATCATTACGACCTGTCCCGATTGCCCGAGATTCCGTATCATCTTTCTCTGTGAAGACAGTCGCAACTACACGAACAGTAAGACGGCAGCACCGATTTTTTCTTTTTTCGGTGAATTTTGCATTCAGCTTCACCTCCATACGCTACGATATGAGTGGTAATCCCCACCGAGTACGGCCCAGCGCATCGCCAGGAGCCTCATTTGTGCCTTCACGCAAAGTCAAGTTGATCATACGAGACCATGCAGACATGCAATGTAGACTCCCCCCCACCGTTACAGTTCTATTTAAAAGTGATAGTAAATGTGTGCAGTTAGTGAAGGGGTCGCGGAAAAAGCTTATGGTGTGAAGCGGGTTTCGAAATATCAACAGTGCACCGTTACGTAACAATTTATAAGAAATTGTTAATAGAATATAACTATAAGAGTTATATTCTCAGAATGTTGTCATAAGGACAAATATTCTGTAGCACTTACGAGTAGTTCCTAATTGGTTGATATAGGCCATTATATCAACCAACGAAGACGCCGCCACGACAGACGCACGCAATGAGTGGTGAGCAGATAGTTGATTTACACATTTGTATTTAGACATAGTTAGATGAAGATAAATAGTGATTTATTGCAGACATTAACTATACTAAATACAGTTCTACTTTTTACTCTAACCAAGTACTCGCTTCTTCTTACCGTCTTCCTCTGCACGTACGAGTGTACGTGAAGTTACGAGGCACCGCCTTATTCTGTCATTAGAATAAGTGGCTTGTACTGTCACCAGTACAAGCTTCAGGGTGCCCCGTTACAGAAAAGACGACTGGAGGAGAGCGATAGCTAGCAAGGCATGAGCGAGCGAGCAAGTGAAAGGCAGTAGACAGAATCTTATCAACCTCCTAGTGCTTCAACGAACGTTTTGATACAGGTTACGAGCCTAATGGCTGGAGCCACATTCGCAACTACGAAGACGCCAGGTGGCGTCGTGCGACCCGCGCCTGGACGCGGATCGCCAGAGCGAGTCCCACCGATGGATCGAGCGCCCGCAGTTGTCGGTGTCTCGCCCGCTCGCGAAAGGATCGAGGCGAATGACGATAAGATCCTCGCCGCCCTCGTCGGCTTGACGGAACGCCTGGCGAAGCTTAAGTCGTCGCAGCGCGTCGCGACGAAGACGAACGGATGCTCGGCGCTGTTGAAAGTGGCATGTTCGCTTCCGCCCTTGGCGCAAACATGCGCGGTCGACCGATGAACACCGATGCGCTTAAGTCACCGGAGCAGTAGCCAGTAGCTTACCCGGCGCGAGCGCGAGCGCCGAATGATGGCGTGTCGATGTTTGCGTCCCTGGCACCACCGCGCGGACAAGCGCCACCCCAGCAGCGATTACCCGCGCAAGCAGCAGCAGCAGGAGCCCAGCAGCAAGCAGGAGGGATGGACTACATCTCGACACCGACTGTGAGATAGAGAAAGTTATCAATTCGAAAGTTCGACGGGACCGAGCTCTACCGAAGGCTGGGTAGTGGTTTTTGACTGGTTACGTGCGTTCTTGCGCGCGATCAAGCTCGTCGAGTTGTCATGTGGCTTCCTCTGGTCGGAAGACGTGGAGGTCGACCTTCTCGGCCATTTATTTCGGGGACAGCGGAACGCTACGGCCACAAGCAAGTGGACACGTGGTGGATGCAACAACCGACGCTCGACTACGTCATGTGTCAGCTGCTGGCGACGTTCAAGTCGAAGATTAAGGCTAGCTAAGAGATGAAGCTCTTCATGACGAAGAAAGAGGCAAAGCGAACGTGGTCATAGCATTTCCTCTAATGGTCGCCGTGAGCGACGCGCGCGGTGGAGCGGACTCGCTCGTCCTGGACAACATTGTGCACCACGCGTCGCCCGAGCTCATGAATGTCATGAGAGCGAAGTACGATCCCACGCGGTCCAACTACCTGCGCCACGCGGATGAGCTGGCGCAGTTCGCGCAGTTGATCGAGCACGGTAGTGGCGCGGTATGACGCGAAGTCGTCGCAGCGCCCGTTGACGCGCGACGGGAGAAGCGAACCTGCTTTAATTGAGGAAAGGTCGGGCACTTGCAGCGAAACGGCCGCGCTAAGAACGCTGCGGTGGACTAGGAGCAGGTTGAAAGCAGTTTGCGGGGTAGGATGCTGCTCGCGCTGAAGGAGATGCCAAACAAAGTTGCAGGAAGCAGCAACCCCCACGCCGGCAAAGCATTACGACTACGGCGGAGGGAGCAACAGATCGCAATCCACGCCGAGCAAAAATCCCGCGCGCTTGGGGAAGTGGAGCCGTGGCAAGAAGACGAGCGAGTTCGTGCTCGCGATAGGCGACGCCGACAAGAGCGATCAAAGAGGCTGTATCCTCGGCAGTGGTGCTAGCCGCCACCTTGTGAGTGACGAGCAACAGCTGGTCGATTCGAGAGAGTGCAACAAAGGGATTGCCATGGCGGACGGCGTGCCGCTCCAGCTGACGAGATGTAGCAGCGTGCGACTGAACGTCATCGAGAACGGCGCAGCGGCGACCGTGACGCATACCAACGTCTACCTGGCGCCGAGACTGGCAAAGAATATCGTATCCTACGGGAAACTCTAGCGTTAAGGGTTCGCGCTCGTGTATGAAGAAGACAAGCGTTCGATCGCACGGCGCAGTGACTGCGCTGTCGTGTTTGACGTGTTAATGAAAAGCAACGTGTTGTACGTGCAGAACACGACAGCAAAACAACAGGGGGAATCTAGCGGCGCCATTATGTCGGCAGTCGAGTCAGGCGCAGTCGGGGATGTCGCAGCCGACGTCCAAGAGGGCACACTGCTTTATATCCACCAGCGGGGGGCGCACTTGGCGTTTGACACCATCAAGCGGATGGCGAGCGACCCGTCGTCTGGAAAACGCCTTACGAGCCACCGACGCATGGCATGTGTGTCTTGCATGGAGGGCAAGCAGACGCGCAACGTGCAGCCGCAGCAAGACAGCAGCGAGAACGCGCCGATGGACCGCATTGGCGGCGTGATCTGTTTGAGCCTCAAAGGGTCTGATGGCGCCTCAAGATAGCCTCAAGAATCGAGATCTATTCAACTTCGTTGACAGCAAGAACAACTACTACAGGATCTTCCTCGCGCGGACGAAGGACTCCGCAGCGAAGCACTTCGAGGCTTTGCTGGCGCGGTTCGAGAAGCGATTCGACTGTAGGATCCACGTGCTCCGCACCGACGGCGGAGGCGAGTACGCCAACGTGTACCTTTTCTGCAAGCGCACCGGAGTGGCGTGGGAGCGATGAACCAAGCGTCTAACGGGAAGGCGGAGCGTATGCACCGCACGATTCTCAACCTCGCGCGAAGCGTGATATTCGCTGATATTCGCCTGCGCGCTTCCACTTAACTTCTGGGGCACGCTGCGTTGTATGCGGTGTACGTGCTAAACAGGAGCCTCACGCGCTCAAACCCAAAAGCGTGTGTCGCCGTTCGAATTGCTGACGGGCACCGCGCCTGACTTGTGGCAGATCGTCTTCTACGGGTCACAATGCTACGTCTACCGCGACCCACGCAAGAACTCGCTGGCGCAGCGATCGCACATCGGGACGATCATCGGGATCAGCAACGAGACCAAAGGGTACAAGGCCTGGTTGAGGAACGAAGGCAAGGTTATCGTCACCCAGCACGTCAAACGAATCAAAACGATGACTGAGACTCAGAACGCGCAGCTGCAATGCGCAATTGACAGCGACGACCGAGCCGAAGCTGCGGAGGAGACAGCGCAAGAGATAGATGAGTAAGCGGTGCCGAAAAAATACGTAATAACCAAGGTGAAGAAGACGTGGGCTCGACAGGCACAAGGCTCGACAGACACGGCACGGGTGGCGCGACAAAGCGCGCTCAAGCAGCAGTCCGTCAGGAGGAGCCAGAAGCTGGTGAGGACGTCGTGAGTGCGGCGTTTAAACGTGACCCGCAGAACTACGCCAAGGCTATGCGAAGTACCAGCGAGACGGCTAGGTGAAAGCGATGGAAGAAGAGGTTGTAGCTCTGCAGGACAACGACTTCTGGAAAATACGCGACGAGCGCCCAATTGTAATGCTCTGCATACTAAATGGGTGTAAAAACGAAGACAACTGCCGATGGCGAGCTGTAGCGGCTCAAGGCGCGACTCGTGGCATGTGGAAATGAGCAATTGATCGGAGTCAACTGAAGGATCACGTTCGCAGCAGGGGTGGATTTCTCGACCGTGAAGGTCATCTTCGCGCTTGCTGCCACGTGGGGGTGCCTGCCAAGCATGGAGACATCCCTAACGCGTACGTCAAGGCGGCCAAAGAGGCGCACTTGCGGATCTACCTTCATCTGCCGCTCGGCATGAGTGTAACCAGTGCGACTCTACGAAAACACGGCGCGGCAAAAGCTCGAAAGAGCTCGCTCTTGAGATCCGGAAGAGCCTGTACGGGCTCAAGCAAGCCGGGCGGCTATGGAGCCAGCTTCTCCGCACCGAGATATCGGCCGCAGTTTTTTGGCGCTGCGAAAGCGACATTTGCCTCTATTGAAAGCGAGACGGTACGGATCTCGTCGTCGTCGTTGGAGTGTACGACGATGACCTCCCTCGCAGCCGGGACGAGTGCCGCTGCGATCTATTGCTTCTTTGGCAGCCTCGCATCGCTTTCGATTAAGGACTTGGGCCGTGCCAGCAAGTTTATCGGGATGCGCGTGCAGCTAAGCGACGACGGAGGGTATCGCCTGGACTGGGATGAGGCGATTGGCGGCCTCCCTGTGGAGCAACGGGCTTACAGGACGCGATATGCGACGCTAACGCCGACCGTAGACGATATCAACGCTGAGCAGCCAAGCGACGCGGAGCTCGTTGGATCAGCGAATGCGCCTCCGGAACCGACAGTGCGTGCATTTCAATCTCTGGTCGGTTCGCTCCTTAGTGTCGCGCGCTATACGCGCCCGTTATTGACTTGCGGTTTCTAAAGCGACGCGGCAGACGCACGCTTCGCACGTGCTTGACTGGAGTTTGGCGAAGCGCATTGCGCGCTATCTGAAGGGGACTGCAACGCTGAAGCTCACGATGAAGCCTTCTCGAGATGACATGCAGCGCTGCGACATGACGCGTTCAGTGACGCGACTTTGCGGGCGATAGGGCAGACAGAAAGTCGGTGACGGGCGTCGTGCTCCTACTGAATAATATGCCGGTAATCTGGGGCGCGCGCAAGCAGGGTGGTGTGTCGCTAGTCGACGATAGAGGCGGAATTTGTGGCTGCCAGCGAGATCGCGCGGAAAATAATAGGGGTGCGAGAGATGCTAATGGAAATCGGGGGTTGCGCCAGCGCTGCCCCATGCAGCTGCAAGTCGACAACCATACGATTATAAGCCAGATTGCTGGCGAAGCGTCGTCGTTGGAAGGCAAGCACGTGGACGTCCGCCACAAGCTCTTATGCGATTTCGCTCGACTTGGAATTATTGAAGCGCGCTACGTCAGGACCGAGAAGATGTTTGCGGACCTGCTGACAAAGGCACTGGATGGAAATGAGCTTAGGATGTTATGCGGAGCTTGTGAAGATTGGTTAGAAGATGGATGGCGTTTAAGGGTTATATACAGAGGTGAGATTACGGAGGGAGCACTTAATGAGGGAGTGTTGAAGAGATGACATTATGGCGATTAGCGCCAGCCGTTCTGCTGGGAGATAGCTGCAGAACATAAATCGTACCAGAATAGATGACTGAAAGAAGGCGATAGATAGCTTAAGGCAGGAGAGAGCAGGCAGGTGAAAGGCAGTAGACATAATCTTATCAACCTCCTACTGCGTCAACGGGCGTTTTCGCTGCAAATCAACCTTGCACTATCCCGGCAGTGCAAGGATATGTGCGTCCGACTACTGCGCGTACATTCGTGCAAAGGCAGACTAACATGAACGACGCCATTCAATAGGAACAAAAGTAGAAGCGGTATCAGAAGTAAATAAGTCATGATTATTATCAATCTAAGTCCCAGTCCTAACTTGATCATATCTATCGACAAGAAAGTGTATAGAAAAGTCTTAGCTTACCGCTGTTGCGCGTCTATCATTTGATTGGACCGCTAGAGCTGAAGCCTGATATGATGGCCCGTATTATTCAATTGCAACGAGAGTGCTTTGGAATGTTATTCCACATGTCAATATTCACGAGCATTACATCGGTATATTGTATGATGGTACTCTTATTAACAAGTATCGGAGTTAATTACGTATAACAGACTCAAACCGTTACATAAACCCTTTTTTAAACGATAGTTGCTGAGTCGCCATTAAAGTAAAGTGATCACCGTTAGACCATAAAAGGGACAG